CTGAATGGTTGCTTCCAGTGTGCTTTGTTCCTCTTTGTGTGCTGCCACCCCAGGTTTCTGGATCTTCCTTCAGCCCCTCACCTTGAAATGCTGCTGCTCAGTTGTCTGAGCTCTTCTGAAAGAACTGACCACTAACTGCCTCTGTTTGGCCACTGTGAAGTCATCCACACTTAGTGTTTAATTGCTAACCAACCAAGCTTGACCATCATGGCTTTCTTCTCACATTGTTGACAATATAGCCATAGCTGTTGAATGCACTGTCCTCACAGTTAGAATTTAGCCCACATTCATGTAAAAGCCTGAAATATTAGATACCAGAATACTATCTCAAGATAGGGAGAGATATCTTTGCTGGTCTCACTCTGCTGTTCGTCATATTAGGTAGTCCAACTCTACATTCTCGTCTGCTTTTCTCAGTCACTTTGTATAGCAATTGCTATTAGTTTGGTTCCCTGGGAAACAGACTCTGAGAAGCTTCTATGTAGGAAGTTTCATTCTAGGAAATAGTCTATTAATGAATGAGAAGGAAAGGAACCAGAGCTGCATTTTTATCCAATGTCAGTTAAACTACATGGGAATGAGCGACCCCCCACAGGGTTATTGTGAATTCTTTGTGTGTCCATGATCTTGCCAATAAATTGCTCTTTCCAGTGAATTGTCGACTTCCCAAAACCTCTTCTTTAAGACTGTGTAATAGCAGAATTTCTAGCAGCTCATCAGGTAAATCCTTCATTCCTAAGAGGTGATCTGGGAGCATCTATTACCATTATCTTGGGTGTATTTCCTTTCAGTCTATTGTGTAACGTACCTATTAGAGAGAGTGAGGCTTTGTTGCTTTGTTGACTAAGCTTTTTTCTTTTTTTATTACATTTATTGATTTTATATGTGTTGAGGTGGGGAGAGTACACTCCTGTGGCAGCCAGAGAACAGTTTTCTAGAGTGAATTAGCTGCTTCTATCGTGTGACCCTCAACTTAAACTCTGGTTATCAGACTCAGTGGCAGTCATAATTAGCTACTTAGCCATCTCTTAGGTCTCTAAATCTTTTATTTATCTTTTAGAATTTTATACATAAGAACTAGATTTATATCATTTCCATCTCTTCCTCTCCTCTTTCCAACTTTTCTTAATGTCTCTAATACCATCTTTTAATGGGGGTTCATCTATTTCTGTTATAAATGATAAAGGCTTCCAACAATCTTTCAAATTCATGACCTAGTTATTTATTTATATGTGAGTGTATGTATGTATGCACATGTACACTTGTGTATATATGAATACAACCTTTTGAGTCCATCTACTGTGTTATTCATATGTGTATTTGTTTAAGACTGACTACAGGATTGACCTATGAAATCAGGGTTATCAGGCTTGTCCCTGGAGAAGACTGATTCTAATATTTATATATGCACATATACACACAGATACATGTATATATAGATCCAACCTTCTGAGCCCATTTAGTATTGTTCATATGATTGTGTTTAGGACTGACTTCAGGAGTATCTGACTATCAACATTATCAGACTTGTCACTGAAAAAGACTGATTCTTCCTCACTGAACACACATCAGTTGCCTTAGTTCTTTAGGGATATGGCCTTGTAAGAGGCCTCTTTGGCATGTCAGCTAGTGTTGTCATTGTGCAGGTTATTGTTGCAATTTCTTGGATGAAGCTTCCCCATCATATGTAGAAGACACTATCTTGTAGCCTATATTCTAAAGTTTTTTTTCTAATAGTTATTTCATTCACTCTGAAATATGCTTCTTTATATGAGTTATTAATAATTAATTATCTCTATACTATTTCTCCAAATAATAAACATTTTCCATAACCTCTTTACATAATTCAAAACTGAAATGAGATTTTTTTAATGTATCTACAAGGCACTTCAAATGTAGCTTTACTACACTTGCTGGTGTAGCATCAGTGCTTTCCAGGGCTTTAACAAGCAGGTAGTGAAACTATGAAATAGTAGCACTGTATGTTATAGTTCTTAAGGTTTCCAAATATGCATAAAGCAAGAAGTTCATAATTTACTACATTTTATGAAGTCACTATAAGACTCATACAGTACCAGCTAGGAAAAGGGAATTGTCTTCTTAAGAGTGGCAATAAATTGCTGGCTGTTACCTACTCTTTGTGGTAACAGAGTAGCTCCAGGCCCCTGAAGATCTGCACTGAGTCTTTGGATCCTTGTCTGGAAGATGCTACCTCATTTACCACTAAGCAGGCTCAGCATTTTAGCAGCATGAGCCATTTAGTCCGTACAACTCTGACCTGTGTCCTGTTGTGCTATGGTAGAGGCATAAGTGCCTATCTTCTGCATTTACTGCTTTCAGGTAACTCAGGGTTTCTATCAAATGCTTCTTTAGTGACTCTGAAACTTCTGAGTAATGATCCTCATCAATCCCAAGTCACTTTAATACACTGATTACTGCCCTTCCTTCCTTCCTTCCTTCCTTCCTTCCTTCCTTCCTTCCTTCTTTCCTTCCTTCCTTTCTTCCTTCCTTCCTTCCTTTCTTTTGTTTTTGTTGGTTGGTTGGTTGGTTTTAGTTTTGGGGGGGTTCTTTGTTTTTTGAAATAGGGTTTCTTTGTACATTCCTGGCTGTCTTGGAAACTTGAGCTGTAGACCAGGCTGGACTCAAAACTCAGAGATCTGCTTGCCTCTGCTGGAACTAAAGGTGTGTGCCACCACCACCCAGATATTACTACCTTTTAAATCATTTAAAAGCATTATTGTGCCATTATTGTGTTCATTCTTCTTAGTAGTCACCATGATCAGTGTATTAGTCAGGGTTCTCTATAGTAACATAATTTATAGAAGAATTAATATATATGGATTTATTAGAATGCCTTACAAGCTGTGGATCAGCTAATCCAAAAATAGCTACCTATGAATAGAAGGTCCAAGAATCCAGTGGTTGCTCAGTTCAGGAGGATGGATGTCTCAGCTGGTCCTCAATGTATGCCAGAATCCCAAAGGAGTAGATTCTAATGCCAGTGAAGGCATAGACTTGCTAGTGAGACAAGAGTAAGCCAGAATAAAACAAGGAGGAGAAAAAAAAGCTTTATTCCATGTCCTTTATATAGACTTCTAGCTTAAGGTGTGGCCAGGATTAAAGGTGGGTATTCCCACCTCAAAGATATGGATTAGAAGTAGATCTTCTCTCTTCAAATGATTTAATTAAGCAAAACATATGTGCACATCTATTTTGGGTTTTTAACCAAGAGTAGCCATCACAATCAATCACATTTAATTGCTGAATAATAATTTGAACACATACTCATTCCAAGTTCATAGAAACCACAGAGATGAGAATCAATTAAGCAAGACTCCCATCCCCAAGAAACTCCAAAGACATATGTGAATTCAGAATGTCACCCATGGAATAGCAATGGAGAAAATGCTATGCCTCAAAGAAAGAGCTGAAAGGAAAGGGAGAAACCTGAACCAATTTGAAGAATTAATTTACAAGGTGGTTCTGAAGTAGGAGAGTGTCTTAGTTAAGGTTGTTATTTCTTTGATGAAATACCATGGCCAAAATCAACTTGGAGAGTCCACTGAGGAAAGCCAAGGCAGGAATGAAACTGGGCAGAAACTGATGCAGAGGCCTTGGAGCAGTGCTGTTTATGGGCTTGCGCTTCATGGCTTGCTCACCCTGCTTTCTGATAGCACCAAAATCAGGAGCCCAGAATGATTCCACCTACAATGGTCTGAGTCCTCCCACATCAATCACTAATTTTAAAAAAGCCCTACAAGCTACATCCCAATCTTACGAAGGCATTTTCTCAATTGAGGTTCCCTCCTCACGGGTTACCTGTGTCAAGTTGGAATAAAAGTAGCCAGAACAAAATGCAAGTATAAATGGAATGCACATTCAGATGCAAGCAGATATGGGGGAATACGGTAAAATCTAATGGCAACTTCTCTGTTAGAGTATGTCTATGTTAGTAGTAGGGAAGGAGCAGAGAAACAGATAATAAGGCTTTCCCATGGAAAGTAGGAGGTGTTTACTACCATCCAAATAAAAGGAGTGAAGATAACTTTGCATTTTGTTGATTGTTCTAAGTGCAATATGGAGGATGTATAGCAAAATGAAAGGAGATTGTCAGTAGGTATATCACTACCCAAATCCCAAGTATGCCTGTGACTATAAAAGTTATCAGTCATCTTCATCAGATGTTATAATTCTCTGTTCTAGAGTCAGTGTCTTCAGCCTGATAGCAAATGCTGAAGTATTTAATGTGTAGACATAAAAATTATTCTCCCTGGAGCCAGGAGTTTGAGGTCAACTAATTAAAAGAGTGAACAAATTAGTGTTCATTGAACCCAGCTATAATTACATATACCACCTTCATAAACTTGTATAAAATTTGACACAAAATAATGTGACTGTTAGTTTGCTAAGCACCATGTTGGGGAAAAGCATTTCTTTAAAATATTCATGGTCTCAAGTCACAATGAATAATAGCCATTTTAGAGCATATGAGAGTGAAACCACTTTAAAATTCCAAGAATGACCTGTTAGACTTTAGACCTTTAATGGTTACTGGGTATAACTGCTATTATAAAAACAATAATCCTATCCCTCAAATAGATGCTCATTCACCTGGCCTTGGCATTAAGAAGGTGTTGGATTTCACTGTAGACCTGTTGTTTTTTGTGCTTTGCAAATCACTTCCTGTAGTATAGGCTTATGAAGCATCTCTACAAAAAAGGAACAGAAAGAAAAAGCTGGAAATAATTGTCCCTGAAAATACAAATTGCTTTGGAAGGTCTCAAAGCAAATGTGCTCTAAACAAGGAAGATTCCATTTCCCTTAATTGTTCTAATTCAGGGTTGTCTGCTTTTTAAAAAATATGATCAAACCTTCTAAAATGTAGCCATACAATTTATGTTTAGGTAGAATTATATTAATAACCATTGCTTCCGCCTGCTTTTAAATGTATACATCTGTATGACTACAAAAGTTTACATCTCTGTATGTTTTCCTTCTAGATTTATTTCTCACGACATTGACTGCCTCGAATACCTATCAGTTTGAGATATGGGAAAATCTGGTAAGAAACCCTTCTCTGGAATATTTTTAAATCCTCATTTTCCATAAGGGCACACAGTATCATAAAATGAGATCACTGTGATCGTTTGGTTGGTTCCAGTAATAAACAGAACAGCATTAAGAGCCTTTGGCTGCATTGCTGCACTCAAGCCCTGAATGCTGAGGAAAGTGATTTGTTAAGCATCAGGTCCTCTGTAGGTTTTTAGGTGTGACTGCCAGTTAAAGCAATAAGCCTCCTCTAATGGGGCTGTTAACAGGACCCCTGCTGGCCTGTCAGCTGTTGACAGGGAATACTGACATTTAATTTTTCAGCTTGGTGATTTGTGAACCCCTTTTTTAAGTAATTTTTTTCTTCTCACCTTTAGGCATACATAATTACATAGAGAACTCAATAATTGGGAGAGATAAGAGAGGATGGTGTAGCATAATCAAATACATTATATATCTATGTGAACGTGTCAAAAACCAAAATTAGTTTTTAAAAGAATAATTAAAAACAACTGACAATTTACTGCCAGGTTGACTGAGATTAAGGAGTCTTTCCCTATAGGTGTTAATAGTTAATAAAAGGTTTTCAAGGCAATTTCATGATTTGATTTTTAGCTTAATATAAATCACATGACAGATAAATTACTGAACTGCAAGCTACCTGAAGTGTCAAAGCTTGATTTCAGGCTGCATAGTGGAAAGTGGAATTCAAGGCCAGTAAAAATGGCCAACCCAGTGACATTGTCACAGATTAGTCAAGCACGAAATTCTCTTTCCTCATGGAAAATGGACTAATAGTCTGCTGGATAGAATGTCTGAGAAGAAAGCATTGTTGCAGAGTGAGCATCAAAATTTAGTTTTAGATCTTTTTATTTCCTACCTAATTATTCCTGATTATTCCGTTGCCTTTTATTCAGTCCATGTTAAAGCCATACCCTAGATTGTATGAGAATCCTGAGAGTGAATAATCAGTTCTAGCAAATGTACTGCACAAACTTGTGGGAAGAGATTGCTGGAAAGTCATTTCTTATCACAAGGCGGGTGATGCTGCTCATGACTCGTGAAACTGGGATTCCTGTTTAAAGGGGATTGAATCTCTGACTGCCTCTAGTGACTCACGCAGTTGTTTTCAATGGGGAAAGGAAAGGTGAGAAAGATGAAGAAGAACACAGTAACCTTGGTCAGTCACCTGGTCCTTTCAATGTAACTGCACTTTTCTGCCTGATGATATAAATCTTGTTAGTACATTTTTTATAGTTGATACTAAGACTCCTACTGCTAGAGAACACTTGCTTGAAGATGGCCTTTCATTCCTACCACTTGTGAGCTTTGAGCACACAAGCCGTTTGGTTAGTTTATACTGGGGATGGGCAGGCAAGCCTCAACACAAATAAGCAGATTTTGTATATGAGATTATGAAACAGTTTTACCTGCATAGGATCCTCTCATTCTAGCCCGATTTATACATAATCAAGCATAGCAAATGAAGGTTCACGAAGAATACAGATTCTTGATTGATATCTTTTATCTTTAACAATTTTTCCTTTGAAGAAAACAATTTTTTTTTTGTTTTTTTCGAGACAGGGTTTCTCTGTGGCTTTGGAGGCTGTCCTGGAACTAGCTCTTGTAGACCAGGCTGGTCTCAAACTCACAGAGATCCTCCTGCCTCTGCCTCCCAAGTGCTGGGATTAAAGGCGTGTGCCACCAATGCCCGGCGAAAACAAATATTTTTATTAACATAAACTAAGTTGTTTTAATACAGTGGCAGGGTCAAAGAATAGCCATTAAAGTAAAAATTATTCAAACACTTATGGATAAAAAGCTAGTCATGGTGACACATTTCTTTAATTCCCATCACTTGGGAGGTTGAGGCACACATATCTCTGTGAGTTGAGGCCAGCCTGCTCTATATGGCACATTCCAGGCCAGCCAAGGCTATATGATACCCTGTCTCAAGCAAAAATCAAAAATAAAGCAAATAAAACAGCCAGGGGCTAAAGAGATCACTCAACTGTTAAGAGCACAGCTACTCTTCCAGGGACCCTGGGTTTAAGTTCAAATATCAGCACCTACATGGTGGGTGGCTCACAGGTCCAGTCCTAAGTGATCCAATGCTACCTCTGGTCTCTACAAGCACTGCGTGCATGTAAATGCACAGATGTATATGCAGGCAGAACACTCATACATTTAAAAATACAAAATCTTTTTAATTAAACACTCGCTAAAGATGGAAAGACAGATTTGAGTTAGGGAGACTGTTTACACTGGGGCTTTGATATAGGGTCAAGAATATCAGGCTCAGCTTCAAATAAAAAAAAAGGGAAATTTTTATAGCCAAGGAAGAAAAGAATAATGTCACTAAGAGGAAAGGGTGATCTTTGTCTGAACTCACCTAACAGGAGCCTCACTCAAGGCAGGCCAGGGCTATTGTTAACTGAAGCAAGTGGGGATTCTGACTAACCTAAATAGTTATATTTTTTAATTTTGTAAGAATGGAAATGAAAGGCTAAGTTTGGGCTAAGTAGAATTCCTAAAAGAACCTACCAGAAATTACACAAAGAGAGACTCTGTATCAGTATTCACTGAGTATATCACTAACATAAATGAAGGAAAACATATCTTGAAAATTAACTCAATCAGTGACAGAGTGGTCAAGTACTTTACAGTAATATATCAGGTGACCAAAAAGAACCTCAAATGTATAAAACCACAGTAAATAGCTGAAGCTACAGCGAGTCTTTTTTAGGGCAGTATGCATGCTCAGCTCATGATCAGGCTCTGGGAATGCAGGTGTGCGGCCCAGGAGGACAGGCTCTGGGAATGCAGGTGTGCGGTCCAGGAGGACAGGTAAGACTGATATGCCAATGCCTCCTCACTAGGAGATGTGACAGAGATTGAGCCTTATATTACAAAGCCAAAAAATGAGGAGCAGTTGCTTCTCTCTGACCCACCCAGGATTAGCAGTGAAGGCTTCAAGAAAGATTTGACCTTTGAAATGACTGGTAGGGTTTTAATAATAGGAAGTCAGAGACGAGGACACAGGCAAGAAGTGGAGTGTACAAAAGTTACCAAATGCATTCGGGGACAGAGGAATAAAGAAATAAAGAAAAGCAAGATTAGCAAAACTGCTTTAGACAAGATTAGTATGGTCTTGACTTGTAAACTAAGTAATTGGGTCTTTAGTAATCTACTACAAAGCTATCAAATTATTTCAGACTGAGAGGAAGATGAATGGAGCTTTCATTACCCCACTCCACATCAGATGGTTTGGTGAGAAAACCTGGGAGTGGTACAGTAACATGAGCAAGGCTGACCGTGACCTAGGGAAAGATGGGTTACTTGGAGTGTGGTGTGGGCACTGGATGAAGCAGGGTAGCTGTGAAGGGTAGAATGTCTGTATGTTAACTTGTGCCGTGCTCCTACCACAGAAGTAGAAAGGGCAAAGGAAATGGCTAAGAGAGCAAAAGCAGCCCACACTGTAGAAGAGTGGGTCACAGAGCTGACTAGAGGTGTGGAGCAGCGCTGCAGGGCTGAGAAGCGACATGGACCGTCGCAGAGGACACACACGCTCCACACACGTCTTCTGAGGCTCACCATGGCTTCCCTGATCATCAAAGTGGATCGGAGACTGGGGTGCCTTTAGAGAAAGAGCAAAAGGATTAAGTCATTTTTCTCTTCAGTTTTCTGCTTGACAAATGAATGCATTATAATGTCCTAATTGAAATTTTTTTGGCTTTGACAGGGTGGAAACTTCTCTCTCAATAATGTCTTTGAAAAACCTAAAAACCTAGTGGTGATTGGACAGTCAGCATTTGCAGACTTTGGTAAGACTGTTTTTGTCTCTCAATGCCCCCACAAATCAACACAGCAACAAAGGCTAGAAATGATCAAAGTAACAGGTTAATCTCATTTCTACCTCCCTGCTTTCTCTTATGTGGTTATGTAGTTAAGAAGTAGTGAACAATAAGTTATAGAATGATAAAGAAGAAACTAAGTAAAGGATTATTACCCAGTAAAGTTTTTTTAACAAAATGTTTATGAGAATTTTTGTCACAGACTTTCTTAGTTTGTGTAAAATTTATTCCATCTTCAGTTACATAAACAACTTCTTTAGAAAAGTCATATAATTGTACAAGATCGTTAACTCTTACAAATTAAATGTAAAACTTAGACCTCTGTTATACTTGAATTGCTGTACCAAAAACAATGTAATAAAGCTGAAGTTTTGAAGATTCTTGCCTTTATATAAATGTAGTATAAATAGGAAGACAAAGGATAAATATCCCAAAAATAAATACAAGAACAATGAAAACAATTCCCACAAGTAAGAGGGAAAGGAAACTATAGTTCTTTTCTGATTATGGAGTTGATACCACAGGACAAGTGAAAACTATCACATGGTTGGACAGTGGGAACTTGGATTGCACTTGGAGGCACCTGTAAGGTTCAGCTGAAAGTCTGAGATGGCATGGAAATGGTGTGGTTAGTGACCAGTAAACACACCAGTTTGGCTTGAATAGAGTGATTTTGCAAAAATGTAGAAACATACAGATTTACTAAGTGCTTTGGGTTATCGAAATGATTACAGACAAGCAAAGACTGCTTTTATTCTGTAGAATTTGTGGGAAATAGAAGTATTTTGAAGAGTTCTTAGTTAAAACCACCTTTATATATTGACTTCAAAAATAAAGTTGAATGAAGCCTTTGCTCTAGTGGGATGTGCTTAAGGAAATGCATTTTGGACTTTGGGGGGACTGTTAGAATCTATGAGGTGCCTCAAGTTTCCTGTCCAAAGAGAGGCAGCTGGAAGCAGTTTCAGGACACTTCCTTCTAGAGATGGAAACCAGTCAGGACTGTAATTACAGCCACATGAGTAAAGGAAAAGGCAGGTGCAGGGACAAACGAAGGAAGCACCAGTGAGTCAGATGGTTGTTTGGACACTAGAATAAATGAAACGTTCATTTGTTTTTAGGGTTAGTAGTTTTATATTTATGATTGTTTTGCCTTTGTGTATGTATGTATATATACTGTGTACATGCCTGGAGTCTGTGGCAATCAGAGGATTGCCTGAAACTGGAGATGCTAAGGGGGGGGGGGGGGGGGAGTGGGAGCTGGGAAGAAGAGAGGGGGAGAAGAGGAAGAGAGAGTAGGTCATGGGGGAACAGGAAGGTTGAGTTGGGGGGTACAATAGGGGGAAGAGGGAATCATAGGTTCGAAGATAGATCAGGCACCAGTGTGACCTCTAGTGATCTAAAGGGATGACACCAACTGGCAAGCTAAGCAATAGTGGAGAGACCACCTCAAATGCCCATTCCTGATAATGAACTTGATGTCTATAGCCATCCTGGAGCCTTCATCCAGTGACTGATGGGAGCAGAGGCAAACACCCACAGTTAAACACTGAACTGAACCCATGGAACCCAGTGTCAGAGAGAGAGGAGCAATGAGCAAATTGGCAAAGTCTGGGCTGGCAAAACCAGCAGAGACAGCTGATCTGAACAAGGGGGAGCTCTTGGACCCCAGACCGACTGCTGCGAGGCCAACATGGGACTGATCCAGACCCCCTGAATGTGAGAGTCAGTGAGGAGGCCTGGACAACCTATGTGGCCCTGGGCAGTAGATCAGTGTTTATCCCTGGCATACAGACATCGTGTGTCCATAACACAAAGAGGGATGCTCTCTCAGCCTGGACTCTTAGGGGAGTACCTGGATCCTGCCCTGAGTGAAATGACAGACTCTAGATATCCCCTATGTGGAAGGAAATGGAGATAGGGTGGAAGGCTGGGGGATTGGCGGGGGAGGGGAGGGAGAGGGAACTGGGATTGACATGTAAAACAAGCTATTTAAAATTAAAATTAAAAACAAGAGTTGTATGCCACCATGTGGTGCTGGGAATGGAACCCACATCCTTTCCAAGAGCAACAAGCACTGTTAACCACTGAGGCAACTCACCAGCCCTCTTTAAAAGTAAAATAAATTTATTCTGAAAGACCTAAAGAATAATAATGTTACAGTACATAAAGATGTGTAAATAATGAAATAAAGCTGGATTGCATATATAGGTGCTTTAACCCTGTCACATTAATAATGTGGATAGAAACAAAGCTGGAACATTTAATAACTCTATGCAAAGAAATAAAAACAAAGCAAGTTGGAGCCCAAAGATCAGATGTTAGATGAGCCCTCTAAGGAAAGCGTAAAACATAAACTGACAGGACCAAGACAAGGAGGGCTGAAGGTGGTCAGGACCATTGCGGGCAGAAAGCGTGAACTTGCTATATATGACTTCAAAGTTTAATAATCCTCTTGCCTCTGCCTTTCAAGTGTTCTGATTACAGGTGTGTCTTGCCTTGCCAGCTGTGGAAGACATTTTATGTCTCACTCTATTTCATCTGTATCTAACCTTTAAATGATAGTGTTAGTTTTGTCTCTTCCTACACACGTTCAGAACATCAAATTTCAAACACGTTACAGAATTTCAAATAAGTGACTCTTTACTAGATTATATAAAACAAAAACTTGATAAAAAATAAGGTGTGTTTTTCCAACAAAAATTATATAGGGAAAATATTTATTTTGTATGCATGTGATGTAATGTGAAAATCAACGAAAAGCTGTATAGCTGTGTAGCTCAGTTGGTAGAGTGTCTTCTTGATATGCACAAAGTCCTGGTTCAGCCACTAGTACTAAAATAAATAAATAAACAACAAAAAACAGGCATATTTTTGCACTTGAGGATTAGAAACAAGACATACAAAATTAAAGGTGAACTGCAACTATATAGCTAGTAAATTTGAGGCCAGCCTGGTCCATTTGAAACCTCTGGTAGTTTGAATAAGAATGACCCCACACCAGAGGCTTATATATATGAATGTTTAGTTACCAGGGAATGGCACTATTTGAAAGGATTAGAAGATTTAAAAATTGTGGCCTTGTTGGAGGAAGTGTGTCACTAAGGGTGGGCTTTGAGGTTTCTCAAACCCATGCCAAGGCCAGTATCTCTCTGCCTTTTTGCCTGTGGATCAGGAAGTTGTTCTCAGCCACAGTTCCAGTATCATGAATGCCTTCATGCTCCCTGCCATTATGATAACAGACTGACCCTCTGAAACTGTAAGTTTCCAATTAAATGCTTTCTTATATAAGGGTTGCCTTGGTCATGGGGTCTCCACAGCAGTAGACACTAACATCAGACCCTATCTCAAAAAGCAAACAAACACGTGAAAGGAAAAACAAAACCTTATATAGGATATTGATATTTTAAAATATGAAATGACTTCAAAACTCTACATATTATATATCCATATCTGATATTTTCATGTATCAGATCATCATAATGTCTGGTACCCAGACATCCATGTTGTTGTCTTAGTCTCCAGGCATCCTACCTAAAGGGGGAAGGAAAACAGAAAACTTTGTTATCCATGAATATTAACATAGTGGAAAATACCAATCGATATAATCATAGTGACATTGATTGCTAGCACCAAATCTGATACTGCTGTAGCTACCATAGTAGATAATAAGTATTGAGAAAATGCCACCATAAGGTTAGCTTATGAAATCTGCATGATGCTTGGTAAAAATTTTCTTGTAATTTCGGCTTAACCATGGTAGATCAGAAATGACTGTATCAAAACAGCACTTAGAGCATTCAGATCCCCTGGCTTTACAGACAGGTTGTTTAGTAGCAGTTTGACAAATTTCTATTTTCTTGTTGTTACTTGATGGGGAATAAGAAGTCAGATAAGCCATGTATAGAGATTTAAATTTTTTATTTCATTTGTATGTTAATGAGTGCGTGAATGTGGTTATTGTCTCTTACAAAATTTAATTGCATTAAATTTTAAAAATTACATGCAATCAGTAGACAAGCAATAGCTATATCATAAATAAGTTGAATAGGGGATGCTCTAGGTATAGTTATATGACTCATTTAAGGATACTTTTAATTACAAATTCTTAAGTTAATACTGTTTCTGTTTATTTAATTCTTATAGTTGAAATTTGGCTGTCTTGTTAAGTCGCTTCATTGTTTTCTGTTATTATTAAAGAGTACTGAATTCCAGTGAAAACCATCAATACAGCAGAAAAATCTTGGAGATCTTAGATACTAATATGCAAATGAAATACAAATGACATAACAAGCTCTGGAGACCCACCAGGTTTAACTATTAGCAAAGCCTTGTTTCATCACCTTTTAAAAGCTGGACATTGGGGTCATTGAAGGAGCCTATGTCCATAGCATCTCGCCTCACCAAACTATTATTGTAACTTTTCCAGCTAACTGGTCTTGTTGTGTTTTCCAAGTAGTCCCTCCTGTACCCAATTACCCTTTCTCATCCCTCCTTATAAAATCCTCTTCCTCTGGATGTCCTCTGATTTCACTAAAATGTCACTATTTCTTGGAGGCCTTCATTGACCACTGTGTTCAAAATTGAAAGCCATACCCCCAACACTGTGGACCCTATTTTCCTTACCTAGTCTATCTAACATACTATACATCTGTTGAACCCACAAAAAATGTTCTCTATTGGTGTGGTTTTTTGCTGGTTTTGTCAAGTCTAGATCTACTTACAATAATATTTTTGAGATTACAATTACGTCATATTCCCCGTAATTTCCTTTTGTCTAAGTCCTCTCATACATCCCTTCTTGCTCTCTTTCAAATTCATACCTCATTTTTAATTAATTGATAGTGTGTATGCATAAATACATAAATATAACCTGCTTAGTCTGCATAATGCTCCTTGTATGTATATTTTCAGGGCTGACCATTTAGTATTGGATAAATAATTGGTGTGCTTGTCCCTGAGGAAGACTATTT